TGCATTGGACACACAAGACTGACTCACTCTTTCGTACTAAAACAAGAACCTCCTCCTCCTAAATGTTCCTGTGGAAAACAATACACTGTAAAACTAATAGAACGTACAAACCTCACAGACATCCGTAGAAAATTCTATAACACGAAGAACATGAAGAAATTATTTACAAAAACTGAACCAAAAAATATATTGGATTTTCTAAAAAGAATTGGTCTCTTATCAAAGATATAGACTCATGTATAAACAACATATCCTACCTTTTATCATTTGGCAAATAAATTGTCCTTATCAAATGGAAATTCTTAACTTAAACAAAAAATACCTAGGATTATTTTGCAGTGTGCAAGCAAATAAGCTCTAGCTTGCTAAAAATGTTCCATACAAAATAGGCATTTAAAATTCATATATTTTGCATATATATATATATATATATATATATATATATATATATAAAAACTGGATTTGGCATTAAATAACCCACAGTGCTTGATATGCCATAAAACCCAAACAAATAAACAAACTTAATATTTTTTGTTATAATCTATTTTTTTTCATTGTTTATTGTTAATTACCATTCTTATCTATATTTTAAAGTATGTTTATTGCTTAACTATTAATTGTTCCTTTATTATTATTTTCATTCCTGACTACTACATAGTCTTGAGGGTTATTTGTAGTTTTTTTTTGTTTTGTTTTTTTTAAGCATTTAATCCAAAGCAAGGCACGAGTGCCACTAGCAAACAAGGAACTACAGAGAGTGAAAATAAAAGTAAAAAAAAGTGTTTTTTAAAAGAAAGAATAAAGCGAAACAGGCCGAACAATAGTAAGACATCAGAAGATGTCGATTGACATTACATATAAACTTCTAAAGATTACAGCCTCGAAGGAAGCAAGTAAGAGGAAGGGAGTCCCGCCGTTGGGAAGTGTGAGAGAAGAAACTGCTAGAGTAGAAGACGCGGTTACATTTAACTGTTTCGACAGCGAAAGTGTGGGACCGAGATGCCAACCTATTAGCACGCTTAAATTCATGCAGTTGGTGTCCCAGTGAAAGTAGCTGGTCAGAGCGGTTGCCATGAAAATATTTGTAGAAAAGACAGAGGGAAGCAACATCATGGCTGTGAGAGAAGTGACTGTTATAATATCTGCATTACTTATTTTGTTACGATTGTGCCGGCCAACAATAAATCCAGATAGAATGTCTACTCTCTCTTAGGCTCACTGTGAAGGATAGATGCATCCGGCGAGAAGCTGTATCATTGTCTTATGCCCTCTTTTATTGTCGTTTACTTGCTCAATAAATAACATTTTCAGAATGTTTGCCAGTGAGTTTCTTTACCTTAATATTGATTCTATTCACGAGTACATCACTTTTAATGATAGATCTGTGTTATTAGCCTAATTTATCAGCCAAGGAACCTCGCTTAATTCCCACTAAGTAGTGAGGTACTCAGCCGTATAAAAGAGAAAAACAACTCTCTCTCCCTCTCTCCTTCTCTCTCATATTTTTTTTTTTTTTTTTTTTTTTTTGCTCTATCACCCTCAGGATGTGGTAGGTACAAGTCATTGTCTAGTCTCCCGTTCCCGGATACAGCAGACAGTACACTAATTACTTATGATCACCGAAGTTAAGCAATCTTGAGGTTGGTCAATAGCTACATGGTTATCCGCTTGAGAATACAAGATGCGATTAGCTTGGGGTTTTTTTGACTGGTGTAATGGATAACGGCTCAGAATTGGAAATCGGAGAACGGAGTTCCAATTCCTGTCGGGTTCGTTATATTCACATTCGCGCAAATACCATTGGGAAAGGTACGAATCCACCTTTTCTTCCCACCCCCATCATTACCTACGGCTTAATTAGTAGAAGTTGCATGACTAAATAATTATTATCTCAAAAAAGATTCTTACAGTCTAAAAATATTTTCTGGCTTTAAATAACCTGCAATGTGTGTATAAGCTGTAAAAAAACAAATCAATCCACATTTTAACGTTTTTTTAAAGCATTTCACCCCAAGCAAAGCTGGATCCCACTAAAAGGCAAGGGGTTACAGAGAATTGGAACGAGAGTAAAGAGGGGTGATGGAGGACAGGGGATAGGTCAGGTCATCTGGAGATGTCGATTGACATTGCATTTGAATAGTTGGAGATTATAGCTACCAGGGAAACAAGTAATAGGAAGGGAATTCCACCCACAGACGGGAGGTGCGAGACATGAAGCTCTTGGAGTAGAAGAGATGGCTAGAGTTAATCGTTACGACAGTGAAAGAGTGGGACCGTGATGCCAGCCTAGTAGCACGCTTAAATTCATGCAGACTGGGAACTAGGGAAAGTAGCTCGTCAGAGCAGTTACCGTGAAAGTATTTGTAGAAAAGACAGAGAGAGGTGACAACATGCCTGTGAGAGAGACTGTAGACGAGATGCCAGATCAGTATCAACCATATTACATATCCGTTTCTTGTCGAGGACCTTAAGGCGAACAGCGGGGGTATCAGACCATATATGGCAGTAGTATTCCATGCAACTGGAATTAAGTGGCGGGGCAACATCGAATCAATAGCTTCACTACTGCCAGAAAGTTTTTTCTCGTCAGAGTTTATCTTCCACAATTACAGATCTATCAGTATCTGTTTGTATTTCTGAGATGAGGTATTATGTATACCATTTACATTATTCAGACTATCGTCCACATCTTTGACGCCATGTTTATCACAGCGTTTCTGCTGTTTCAGGTGGTTGGGATGTCGAACTGAACCCTTTATTTCGCTCACAGGGGTAGACTGTTCTAGTTCCGCGTGCCATGTCTAATGGATGTCAGTTATCTCCTGTTAATTCCTCTCTGAAAGTTCTCCACTGCCTTAACCGGGTACTGAATTCATACTCTTTGGGTCCTGTCACTGGATCTAACTAACGCCTTTATCCACTATGCCATGTGCCCTTGAGGACATCTATGTATGAATTTCTGGGTTGCTGAAGATATTAGGTTTATAATACCCAGAAATTCATACAGATATCCCCAGAAGTTGATGTAGATTTTACAAGGAACCGGAAAACTAATCCTAAGCAGGAAACAAGGGATAAACGTCTACCCCTCTAAAAAACACAGAGAATATGATTCAGGCCTTAGGTGGACCGATCTATAACTATTATTATTTTGTTTTTGTTTCTATTATAACACGGCCGACCCGGATCGAACCTGGATTATTCCCACGCCAGTCAGTACTGCCGCCGGTCAACTGATGGTCATCGGCTTCGTTTCTCCATCCGCCGCGCTCCAAAATGTATTCTTTGATCCCACAGCAGTGAAGATCAAATTTTCGTCCGTACCTAAGCGCTGAATCGAGCTGACAGATCCGTTTTATGATAAGGGCAAAGATTGATTCCACTGGTAAAAATCCAAATACCATAATAAATAAAAAAATAAGATCGTTGGCTTATTTTTCAATTGATTTATATAGTCATTGATTCAACAAAATTAATCCTTCCCGTAAACCTCTCTATCGTAACACTGTGTATCTTGCTTCTACGACTTGAAGCGGGTCAAAACATTCACACAAGATGTCAATCGGAAATTCTGTGTGTCGGCAGCAGGTCACGTGACTTCTTCCGGCCCCTCTCAGCCCTCGCCGACCTCTGGGTCTTCTGATGGCCTCTCGTAGCTTCTAGTCGCCTCTCACTCCAACTTCTGGCTTCAAATAAGCGTTCGGTTTATATATATTTCCCCCAACTCCTACCGGCCTTCAAAGCTCATTACGTATTCATCAATTAATTATTTTCTCCAACCTTGGAGACAAAGTGGTCAGCTATTTCAATAAACTTTGTCGCCACATTCCTTGCGATAATCGGCCCTTTTTAAAAAAACAATAATTTTTCCGTCAGCAACTCCAAAGAACTTCATTTTTAATCTCGGATTCCAAAACGACCATTGTTTACATTTTGGCTTTATCCAAATTCGCTCACCGGCCGTCATTGACCTTAAAATGCAAAGCAGTCAACTATTCAAAACAATGAATTTCCTGACAACAATTGAAATTTTTCAAACGGCAAGAATTTTCTTTGTCTTTCGATTTACCAATAAGACCCAAATAATTATCTGTCCATTTTCAAAACCTTCCGGCTTTGAGGACACATAATTTTTATTTGCTTTTTCATTTTACATTTTCTTCAAACCACATTTTGACTCAAAATCCCATTCCGCGTTTCTGTTTATCAGAAAGGAAAGAAAATTTTTTTTTTCTTCGCTTCATATCTCAATTCATGTTTTACCCATTAAATTTATTTTTACGTTTTCAACTATTCGAGTTCTCCAATTTTACACGGAGTTTTCACATGAACCCTTTTAATACTAGCAGTATCATAATAGTGTCACACTATCGTTGTCTTTGTTTTTAAATGTATGGCATTTAAAAGGCATTTTTGTTAAGATGAAATATGGTATGAATCTTGACATAACTTTACTGTGAAAAACACATAAATTAATACACATTAACTCGAAATTTTAGTTAGACTCTTTACGACGGACAAATAATGTGTTGAATGTGTTGTTTTGTGCCACGTACAAACTTCGAAAACTTAAACACAATGCCAATCGCCATATTTCTCTTCTTGAAACTTTGTTTTTTACTGTCCTTTCTTCTCATTCTCTTTTACACCCAGTAACCTCTTGTACCTTAGTGACATTATCGCCATCTTTGTTTTCCTGAAATCTGTACTTTTATTGTCCTTTCTCCTCACTAAAGTCTTCTCATTCTTTTTCACTCCCAATAACCCCTTGTATTATCGTTTTGCTTGGGGTGAAATGTCTTTTTTAAAAACTATTTGAATTACTAGATTTTTTTTTTAAATTTGGACATTCAATTTCCCACCAACGTAATGTGTAAGAATATGTTACATTGAATTGAACAGTGAAACTTAGAACGACGAATTTAATGCCCAGAACCAGTAAGCCACTATAGCGGGGCAAGACTCAGTATCCCTACCGCTACAACATGTCTCGTATACGCATGTGCAACGAGCTGGGCGAATATTCAAATACTCAACGCATCTCGCCGTTTCTCTTTCAAGAAAAAAACGACGACGCATCCATCAAGAACTCTTTGATAAAAAAGAAAAAAAAAAAAGTTGGAAATGAACTGGTCGTATTGGTGTTGGTACAATGAATAACTGGAAGCAAGGAAGATTTCGAAGAAATGATAACTGTTTTTTTTTTGGTGTTGTTATTGTTGTTTTTATTCTATTGTTTTCTGGCTCTTTCTTTACATCTTGGATAAATTCCTGGAATTCCATAGCGTCGTCTCGGGCGGGATTTTAATAGGATAAAAGTATTGCAAAGACAGAATCCATCCGAATCGACTTGACTATCCCGAGGCAATATGAATACTCCCTATCTCTTCCATTCTCTCTCTCTCTCTCTCTCTCTCTCTCTCTATCTATCTATCTATCTATCTCATTTTTTCTCACCGCCCTGTCTCTTTTTTTCCCTTCTCTCTCCCAATGGTTTTCTTTCTCTAACGCTAAAGCTTTCTTTCTCGCACCCTTTGTATTATTCTTTCATTTTCTTTCTCCTACTCACCTACTGTCTTACTCTATCGTTTTCTTTTATTACGTTCTCTCTATTCCTCTCAATCATTCTCTCTCACCTTCTCTGTCTTACTCTCTTTCTTTCTCTCTCTCCGTCTTCTATCGTTTGTCACTCTTCTGTCTGTTTCTCCCTCTCTTGTTTTCAAATTTAAACGCTCTCCCTCCGTCTATCAGTCTATTATTTTCCCTTTTTTTCTTCTCCCCCCTCTCTCTCTCTCTCTCTTTCTCTCTTGCCTTTTCTTTTCTTGTTTTATTTGCCAAACGCTCCCCCAACTCTCACTCTTTAGCTGTTGCTCTCTCTGTATTACAATGCTTATTTTAATCTCCATCTTCTTTTTCTCTTTTCGTTTTCTTTTTCTATCTCTCTTTTCTCATTTTTTTCTCTAGCTTTCTTTCTTTCTTTTTTCTTCCTTCCTTTCTTCCTTAATAGGCTACTTTTACTCATTCATTCATTACATCTTTCTTGCAGTCTCCTTTTCTTTCTTTCTTTCTTTCTTTCTTTCTTTCTTTCTTTTTTTCTTTCTTTCCATCTCTTTACTTTCTCTTTCGTTTTCTCTCTGTAACGCTCCCGTTCCTGTATGATAAGAAAAGTTAAGCAACGTCGAGATTGGTTGGTAACTAGATGGGTGACCGCTTGGTAATACCAGGTGATGTAAGCTTGGATGTGCAGTTGGTGTAATAGAAAATAGCTCGGTATTTGTAATCGGAGAGCCGATTTCCATTTCCCGTTCTGGGCATTATATTCACTTACGCACAAATCCCCTTAAAAAATATATGAATCGACCGCTTTTCCCCACATCTATGGGTCAATTAGTAAGATTTTGTCACGAAAGAAGTATTAACTCAAAAAATTATACATACAATCAAAATATAATTATTTTGGCTTTATATAACCTGCAAATGGTTGATAAACCATAAAAAAACGAATCAATCTATCAATGAAATACTAATGAGCTACACAAGCAGGTCTTTTAGATTTATTTACATTCTATGGATTATACATGTAGAGAAAATACCGTGGCCACAAAATGAGGGGTCAGTTTATATATTGATTTAATATAGAATGGATTTGAATTGTTAACGTCCCCACTTCTTTCACAGCTTTTCTCTTGCTCATTATGTCTTACTGTCTTTATTTTACGCGATTTATCTTTCGTTTTTTTTTTTTTCTACCACTCTTTCTTTCTCGCTCCATCATCCTCTCTTTCTTTCTTTCTTTCTTTCTTTCTTTCTTTCTTTCTTCTTTTCTTTCTTCCTTTCATTTCTTTCTTTCTTTCTTTCTTTCTTTTTTCTTTGGCTCTCTCACTCCCTCTCTCTCTCTCTCTCTCTCTCCATGTCTTTCAATATAAATCTCCCTGTCTTTATCATTCGTTTGCTTTTTCTAGCATTCTCACTCACTCTCTCTACTCTCACACTTCCTCTCAGGCTCTCCCTCATTCACTCGCTTTCTTTTCTTTCCCATTCTATCTATCTACAGTTTGTTCATATCTATCTATCTATCTATCTATCTATCTATCTATCTATCTATCTCTCTCTCTCTCTATCTATCTATCTATCTATCTATATATATATATATATATATATATATATATATATATCTGTGTGTCTGTTTATGTCATAGAGGACGTTCATATATACATTCTTATCCATCTATCTATCTATCTATATATATATATATATATATATGTATATATATATATATATATATATATCTGTGTGTCTGTTTATGTCATAGAGGACGTTCATATATACATTCTTATCCATCTATCTATCTATCTATCTATCTATCTATCTATCTATCTATCTATATATATATATATATATATATATATATATATATATATGAATATCTTTCTTACAGTACGTTCATACATCTATCTGTTAATGTTCATATCTATCTATCTTTGTATCTGTTAATGTTCATATGTATGTATGTATCTATTTATCAATACGTTGCAGTTTTTTTCATATCTATTTGTTTATTTTCATATCTTTCTATCTAGCTAGCTAGCAAGCTATCTATCTATCTATCTAGCTAGCTAGCTAGCTGTTAATGTTAATGTTCATATGTATCTCCTCTCTCTCTCTCTCTCTCTCTATATATATATATATATATATATATATATATATCTTACAGTATGTTCATATCTATGTATCTATTAATGTTCATATCTATCTATCTATCTATCTATCTATCTATCTGTTGCAGTTTTTTCATATCTATTTGTTTATTTTCATATCTATCTATCTATCTATCTATCTATCTATCTATCTATCTATCTATCTCAGTCCTTTTCATATCTATCTATCTATCTATCTATCTATCTATCTATCTATCTATCTATCTATCTATCTACCTAGTAAAGTGTGTTTATATCTATCTGTTGCGTAGAAAAAGATGAGTAAACAAATAATAGTGAAAAAAATTTTAAAATAAATTCATTCTTTATTTTCTCTCTTTTCGTCCCTCTCACAACTACACATACTTCCTCTTTTCTTTTCTATTCATCGCCTGTTTTTCTTCTTGTTCTTATTTTTCATCGTCCCTCGATTTTTGTTCTTACTCAATTATTTTTTTTTTTTTCCTTTCTTGCTCCATCAATTCTTTTTCAAAGGCCTTACCCGTGTCCGGTTATCACGCTGTCCTGCAATTCTCAACGGAAGTGATATTAGGTAAATATTTGCATTTGTCCCCTCTTGGAATAATAATCCTTCGCGTATAAAAACAATCTGAGAGTTTATTGTTTCTGTTTTTAGTCATTTTTTTCCTCCTCCGGTGGAGGATAACTGGGAAACCTCACATTACCCTTGCAAAGAAACAAAAACTAATAGAAACCCGTGACCATCACAAACCAGCCGCAGACAGTGTTTGCAATAAAAGACTATTCTTTCCAGTACCAGTGGTCAGAGTTCAATCTCGAGGGAAATGCCAAAAATTTAGAATGGCCATTTTCCAGACGTACTTCTCATTTCGCAGATTAGCATAACAGAAATTCCTCTCGCCGTTTTTCTTCTCTGTTGACAGATAAGGAATGATTGCTTTGGGAAAACAGCTTTTTCGGACACAACTCAAACATTTGGGGTAATGCCCAGTTCATTACAAATTAAAATACCATTAAAACACTGTTAAAATACTATTAAAATTGATATACATTTTAAAATATGCCATTTTCAGACAACACTCAAATATTTCGTGAACTGCCCGGTTCATTACTAATTAAAATACTATTAAATACTATTAAAATAGTATTAAAATTGATGTTCATTTTAAAATATGTCATTTTCGGACACCACTCATATATTTCGTGGATTTCCCAGTTCATTACTAATGAAAATACCATTAAAATAGTATTAAAATAGTATTAAAATTGATGTTTATTTAAAAATATGCCATTTTCGGACACCACTCATATATTTCGTGGATTGCCCAGTTCATTACTAATGAAAATACCATTAAAATACTATGAAAATACTATTAAAATTGATGTTCATTTTAAAATATGCCATTTTCGGGCACAAATTAAATATTTTGTGGATTGTCCAGTTCATTACAAATTAAAATACCATTAAAATACCATTAAAATACTGTTAAAATACTATTAAAATTCATATACATTTTAAAATATGCCATTTTCAGACAACACTCAAATATTTTGTGGATTGCCCGGTTCATTACTAATTAAAATACCATTAAAATAATGTTAGAATTCTAACAAAATTGATATTCTTTATAATACGCCATTTTCGGACACCACTCAAATATTTTATGGATTGCCCAGTTCATTGTTATTTACACTATTGTGTAAATTAATTGAAAAAAAAACTGCTTCGGATTCCTTTCTTTCATCATTTTTAGTTTTAGACCCATTGGAATGATAGGGTGTAATCGATTTCTATTTTTCCCCAGATTAGGTCATTTGCAGTGGTGTACTATGTATGAATCTATTTTGGGGGTGTATGATGAAATTTGTTTGGACTTGAAAATATTGCGTCATCTCTGATTGCATCAGATTTTTATCACGCCCAGGCACTATTTTCTCGACTGTCGATTAGTTGTCCTACAGACATTGTCTGCGATGGACGTTACTCCAACGAAGCGTTCGAAAATTGTAACGCTGCAC